CATAAACACATTTCATTACACCAAATACACAAAATAATGTTCTTTTTAGCAGCATCATATGACCCCTTTAAAGAACTTTGTTTTTCTACCTCCAGAAGACACAAGTGCATATGTTGCCTTGTTTATATAAAAGTGCACTTTTCTTTGTTTTAAACCTAGCCAAAAAGCCTGTGAAACACAGTATATCTATTTATTGTGAAATTACTACGTTTCCGTGTCAATCCATGTTCCTTTTTACTACGAACAATGCACTGTCACTTTAATTCAGCGCGTGCAGCACAGCAAAAATAGACTCGGTGCGTAAACGATCGCTGCACTGCTGCAGACGCGCCGCTCCTGGAACGCACTGACGGACCGCAACCGCGTGCAGTGTGAAAGCGCTAATCCGTTAACATGGGTGCGTAAAATAATAAACGCAACGCACACACACTGCAGACGGAGTATGTGTGAAACAGGCGTTACAGTTAAAGCTAACACCATGTTTCCTGATGATATCTCCCAAGGGTAATGTGAAAAGCAACGGTCCTAGTACTGAGCCTTGTGGTACTCCATACTGCACTCAATCAATCCATGTGGAGCATTGATAGTGGAAGCTAGAGATTATGGTTTATAAAGTTGTAAATATGGATATTTTTCTTACACAAACACATCGATTAGCTTCAGGAGGCCTATATTAACCCCCCGAAGCCATGTGGAGTACTTTTTATGATGGATGGACACTTTATTTTGCTTCAAAATCTGGAACACTACCCACTGCCATTATAAAGCTTAGGAGAGCCAAACTCCAATTGTATTCGTCTGTAAGAAGAAAGTCATATACACCTAGGATGGCTTGAGGGTGAGTAAACCATGGGGTAATTTTCATTTTTGGGTGAACAATCCCTTTTATTCAATGGAATATTATTATTTAATGGAAATATTATTTTATTATTATTTAATGGAAAACCAAAGAATGTGCAGGACCTAGAGGATATTTCTGAAGAACTGTGGACGGTTTAACTGCTAAAGACAAGCAAGGGACTCATGAAACCCAGAAATCAGTTGTGGGTCATCCAGGTCAACAAGGTAGTAACTTTTTCAACAGTTTTGTGAATGTAATGTCTTTATTGAACACATGCCATTAAATAATTTCAGAAGCGTTCACAAACTTTTTCTTGCTTCTGTATATGTTGACACAAACAATACCAACATGAGCATGCCTCTTTTTGAGTGCAAAGTACTTTCGTGGACAGTCCTGGTTTTTGTTGTTTTGTCCCCGACTGGAGCCATCCCCGGAAATATCCCTCTTTTACAGCACATTCAAAACACCCCACAAAGACATTGCAGAAAAGCTGACCAACATATATTACAATTAGCAACACCTCTACATAATCTAAATTAAAAGGTGTCTACCTCAACCATTTAAAATTTAAAACTATAGCAAAGAAGATGGTCAGGTGTTCTCACTGCAGTAAACATGCTCAAAAGAAAATAATAAGGCTCAAGGTAAAGTACTGTATAAAGAGATGTATTATATAATAAAACAATAATGCACATAAAAGAAGTGGTCAATGAGTGAACAATCAACCTCACATTTAGCTGCGGTGTGACTTGATTTCAAACATATCAGAATCAGAATGAGCTTTATTGCCAGGTATATTTACACATAGGAGGAATTTGTTTTAGTGACAGAAGCTCCACAGTGCAACAGAATGACAGTGACAAGACAGGACGCAGATAATAAAAAGAATAATATACAAATATACAAAATAGACAATGTACAAAATAGCAAAAACACAATATATAATATAGACAATTATATTCAAATGATTTCATGGTCACAGACGTTAGAGCCACAGGTCTGTAGTCATTAAGTCCAGTAATTTTGGGTTTCTTTGGGACGGGGATGATGGTGGAGCGTTTTAAGAATGAGGGGAATTCACACAAACTCGTTCAGATCGTCTGCCAGTTGTTGATTCTCCACAGTGCTGTTGGATGGTGTCTTGTAATTGGTGATGTCTTACAGACCTTTCCACACTGAAGCAGGGTCACTGTAAGAGAACTGCTTCCTTAGCTTTCCAGAATAATTCCTCTTTGCCTCTCTGATCTCCTTTTCCAGTGTGTATTTGGCCTGTTTATACAAGAATCTGTCCCCATTCCTGCGAGCATCTTCTTTGGCCTGACGGAGCTGTCTGAGTTTTGCAGTGAACCATGGTTTGTCGTTGTTGTAGGTTAAATGAGTCCTGGTAGGGATGCACATGTCTTCACAGAAACTGATATAAGATGTTACAGTCTCTGTGAGCTCGTCCAGATCGGTGGCAGCAGCTTCAAAAACACTCCAATCAGTGAGGTCGAAACAGGGCTTGTAAATCCTGCTCTGCTTCATTAGTCCATATTTTTACAGTCCTTAATACAGGTTTAGCTGATTTCAGTTTATGCCTGTAGGTCGGTATAAGATTAACCAAACAGTGATCAGAGAGCCCCAAAGCTGCCCCTGGAACAGAGTGATATGCATTCTTTATTGTCGTGTAACAGTGATCCAATATATTACTGTCTCTGGTGGGACATGTGATGTGCTGTCTGTATTTTGGCAGTTCACAGGAGAGATTTGCTTTATTAAAGTCCCCGAGAATGATTAAAACAGAGTCCGGGTGTTGTTGTTCTGTGTCTGTGATCAGATCAGCGAGTTTCTGTAAAGCGGTGCTCACGTGTGCTTGCGAGGAATGTACACACTTACGAGAATGAACGAGCAAAACTCACGCGGCGAATAGAACGGCTTGCAATTAATGAAGAGCACTTCTAGATCTGAACAGCACATCTTCTTTAACACAGTTACATCTGTACACCACCTCTCATTGATGTAAAAGCATGTCCCGCCGCCGCGCGATTTCCCCGTTGATTCTGCGTCGCGATCTGCTCTAAACAGCTGAAAGCCCGGCAGACTCAACGCGCTGTCCGGAATGGCGTCTTTCAGCCAGGTTTCCGTGAAACACAGAGCAGCAGAGTTTGAAAAATCCTTATTTGTCCGGGAGAGCAGAAGAAGTTCGTCCGTTTTGTTGGGTAGAGAGCGGAGATTTGCCAGATGGATGCTTGGCAACGGCGTTCTGAATCCGCGCTGTCTGAGCTTCACGAGCGCGCCGGCTCGCTTCCCCCGTCTGCGCGTCCTGAAGCGCTTGATCAGCGCCGCAGCTCCCCCGACAACAATGTCCAGCAAAACATCAGAATAATCAAAACCGGTGAAATATCGGGTGGTGTGTACTTCCGAATGTCCAGCAATTCGTCTCTGGTGAAACTGATTGCAGGGATATAACTAAAGACAGGACAAACTAACAAAAACATAAAAACAACTGCGGAGCACGCCACGGAGGCAGCCATCAGGCTTCAAAAACACTCTAATAAGTGAGGTCAAAACCAGCTTTTAAATCCTGCTCTGCTTCATTAGTCCATCTTTTTACAGTCCTTAATACAGATTTAGCTGATTTCAGTTTCTGCCTGTAGGTCGGTATAAGATGAACTTAACAGTTATCAGAGAGCCCCAAAGCTGCCCGTGGAACAGAGTGATATGCATCCTTTATTGTGGTGTAACAATGATCTAATATATTGCTGTCTCCGGTGGGACATGTAACGTGCTGTCTGTATTTTGGGAAAGATTGGCTTTATTAAAGTCCCCGAGAATTATTAAAACAGAGTCCGGGTGTTGTTGCTCTGTCTCGGTGATCTGATCAGCGAGTTTCTGTAAAGCCAGGCTCACGTGCGCTTGAGGAGGAATGTAGACACTCACGAGAATGAACGAGCAAAACTCCCGCGGCGAGTAGAAAGCCTTACAGTTAATGAAGAGCACTTCTAGATCTGAACAGCACATCTTCTTTACCCCGCTGTTACATCTGTACACCACCTTTCGTTGATGTAAAAGCATGTCCCGCCGCCGCGCAATCTCCCCGTTGATTCTGCGTCGCGGTCCGCTCTGAACAGCTGAAAGCCCGGCAGATGTAGCGCGCTGTCCGGAATGGCGTCGTTCAGCCATGTTTCCGTGAAACACAGAGCAGCAGAGTTTGAAAAATCCTTGTTTGTCCGCGAGAGCAGAAGTAGTTCATCCGTTTTGTTGGGTAGAGAACGGAGATTCGCCAGATGGATGCTAGGCAATGGCGTTCTAAATCCGCGCTGCCTGAGCTTCACGAGCACGCCGGCTCGCTTCCCCTGTCTGCGCGTCCTGAAGCGCTTGATCAGCGCCGCTGCACCGCCAACTACAACGTTCAGCAAAACGTCTGAATAATCGAAATCCGGGTAGAAGATTTTGTGGTGTGTTCTGCCGAGTGTTCAGCAGTTCATCCCTGGTAAAACTGATCTTGCTTGAGAAACTAAAAAACAGGAAAAACTAACAAAAACAGTACAAACACTGGAGAGCCAAGCACTGAGGCGGCCGTCCTACATATGCATTTACTATTGTCATACTAAGAACACAAACAGGCTCTCACATTTACATGACTTTGCATATGGATAAGTGTGTTGATTTTATTGCATTGATCACAATTAAATTGTCTTTCCCCAGAGTGAATGTACAGATGGTTGCTGAAATTACCCCTTTTTCAAAACCTCTTGTCACACGAAGGAAAACGAGAAATTCTTTTCACAATGATTTTGCAAATGCTGTTTCAGGCTTATGTGATATGTGAAACTCATGTCACACTGAACACACTTGTAAGGTTTCTCTCCAGTGTGAACTCTCATGTGAATCTTAAGGTTTCCTTTAATTGTGAAACTCTTTTCACACTGAAGACACTTGTAAGGTTTCTCTCCAGTGTGAACTCTCATGTGCAGCTTAAGGTTTCCTTTAACCGTGAAGCTCCTTCCACACTGAGGGCAGGTGAAAGGCTTCTCTCCAGTGTGAATTCTTAAATGATACTCAAGGTATGCTCTGTATATGAAGCCCTTTCCACAGTGAGGGCACAAGAAAGGCTTCTCCCCGATGTGAACTTTTACATGATTCTCAAGTTGATTCCTGTCTGTGAAACTCTTTTCACACTGATGACACTTGTAAGGCTGCTCTCCAGAGTGAACCTTTATGTGAATATTAAGGTCTCCTTTAATTGTGAAGCTCTTTCCACACAGTTTGCAGGTGAAAGGCGTCTCTCCAGAGTGAACTCTCATGTGATCCTCCAGGTTTGCTCTGTTTGTGAAACTCATTCCACATTGATGGCACATGTAAGGCTTCTCCCCGATGTGAATTTTTACATGATTCTCAAGTTGATTCCTGTCTGTGAAACTCCTTTCGCACTGATGACATATAAAACAGTTCTCTCCTGAGTGAATCCTCATGTGATGATTAAGGTATTCTCTACATCTGAAGCTCTTTCCACACTGATCACAAACAAACGGATCCTCTCCAGTGTGAATTCTCATGTGAGTCTTAAAATTTTCTTTTTGCATGAAGCTCTTCACACACAGTTTGCATTCGTAAGGCTTCTCTCCAGTGTGATTTGTCATGTGGCCATTAAGATCTCTTTTCCGTTTAAAACTCTTTCCACACTGAGAGCAGATGAACGGCTTCTCTCCAGTGTGAATTCTCATGTGGACATTAAGACCTCTTTTCTCTTTAAAACTCTTTCCACACTGAGAGCATGTGAACGGTTTCTCTCCTGTGTGAATTTTCATGTGAGTCTTAAGTTGTCCGTTTAGTGAGAAGCTCTTCCCACACAGTTTGCAGGTGTAAGGCTTCTCTCCAGCGTGATTTCTCATGTGGGTATCAAGGTTTTTTTTCTGTGTAAAACTTTTTCCACACTGAGGGCATGTGAACAGATTCTCTCCAGTGTGGATTTTCAAGTGGCCTTTAAGGCCTTGTTTTTGAGTGAAACTCTGCCCACATGGTTTGCAGGTGTAAGGTTTCTCTCCAGTGTGAATTCTCATGTGGACTGAAAGGGTTTTTTTCTGTGTAAAACTCTTTCCACACTGATAGCATTTGAATGGCTTCTCTCCAGTGTGAATTCTCATGTGAGTCTTAAGATTTCCTTTTAGTGAGAAACTCTTCCCACACAGTTTGCAGGTGTAAGGCTCCTCTCCAGTGTGAATTGTCATGTGGGTATTAAGATTTCTAGCTTCTGTTTTATGGGTCTGTGAGTAACTAAATGATTCTTCACCAGGCATGAAGTTTTTCTCTTCCATTTCATTCAGTTCTTGACTCTCCTCTTTCAGCGCCATCAGGTCTAGGGTGAACAGAATCAAAAACAAGTGAACACCAGTTTAACGGCACAAAGCAACAGACATGAAAACATTTAGACCTGTAATCCCAGACCCTCTTCTTAATACTGTTAACTCTTAACTTTCTTTAGGACACATCCCAAATACTACCCTTCATATAAAAACCCACAGAAGAGCACTGCACACATTTGGGTTGGGATCCTGTGGGTGGTCAAAAAAAGATACCACAGGTTCCTTGATTTAAAATGAAGAATGGAGTCAACACATGTTCAGGAAAGATTAAAGTGGGTTTTTAATATACAAAACCAAAACAAGGCAAGTCTGATATTCTGATAAATTTTCAAGTTGTTACTGACAAAAGGGCCCCTATTATGCAAAATTCATGTTTACATGTTGTTTGAACATAAACGTGTGTTAGCAGTGTGTGAACACAACCACCCTATAATGATAAAAATCCACCGCTCCTTATTTTTAATCCACATAAATCATAAGCAGTGTCTCAGAACAAGCCGTTCACAGAATCTGTACAAAGTGATGTCACATTGCTCAGGCCCCGCCCACTGCCGCTGACTGACACCGCCGTATTAGCATAGACCCACCCCGAGTTAGCTATAAAACAGTCCGCCATTGTTTATCTTCATGCTAGAACATTTAAAAGTCTTCTTATTAGAGCTACAGAAATTATTCATTCAAGAACAGTGAGTGATTTTCTGCTTTTATTTTATTGTTTGGCTCATATTAACAGCGTAGACAGCAGTAGGTACTGTATATTACACTGCTGTCACTTAATACACAGATCTAATACACACATGCACTTTCTTTCCCAGCTGTTTAACTTCACACACATAACCGACTTTGTTTTTGTAACTTACGTGTTTTTAACATAAACTTGTGTGTGATAGTGAACTTTAGTGCTCACATGCCGTGTGACAGCCGCTTTCTGTGCGCTCTATCAGACACTATATCAGAAGTTTAAGCTGATATGGCTTTAAAACGCATGATTTAAGTGCGACATACATGATAATCAAAACCAAACAGATGTTTTTTTGTCAGCGTATCTGAGGTACAAGCTATGAAGGCTCCGCCCTATTCTGGAAAAGGGGGCGGGGAGCAGCAGCTCATTTCCATTTAAAGATACAGGCACGAAAACAGCGTTTTTCTACTCAAAATAGAAATTTTCAAAATGATATAATAATAGATCTGTGGGTTTTTTTGAGCTGAAACTTGACACCTGAGACTTGTATTACATCTTGTAAAAGGGGCATAATAGGGGCCCTTTAAATTATATTGGTAACGATGAAAGATGTGTCCATAGTTGGTTAACCGTGCTTTTGGAAAATGATCTCCTGAGTGTTAAGCCCAGTTTAGCCCAATCATGTTCCTGGATATCTGCATTCCTACAAAGTTCAGTTTCAACCCCAATCAAACACACTAGCTAATTAAGATCTCAACTCAATTGTATATAGCACTTACAAAACTGGACCAAATGCTGTACATAAGAGCTTAAGCAAAAGCCTAAAACTTACAATCTCAGCATGCACTGATGGGGCTCCAGAAACATGGTTAAGAAGCACTGAATTAGACACATCTGGCCAGCAGAAAGCAGAAGTTGATGTGATTGATAAGGATGTAACACGTTTTAAATTCAACCCCAATTCCAGAAAAGTTGGGACATTTTGTAAAATGCAATAAAATCAAGAATCTGTGATTTCTTAATTCTCTTTAACTTCTATTTACTTGACAAAAGTACAAACACCTCACATTGGTTTCATACAGATTACTTTATCAGAGATTATTTGTTTTCGATAAGATTTACTTCATTTAGACATATCTCTCATGTCTGTGTACACAAATAAAAGTAGACCCTTCACAGATTCAGAGAGCAACAGAGTGTGGGCCGAGTCTGGCCTAATTCTGGCGCTGTTTTTTTCACAGTCTGGTGTGAAACAGCAGTTGGCTGAGCTCTGGCTGGAGTCTGGCCAACCAAAAGAAACTAAAAGCAAGTTGTATCTATTTGGCTGAGCCATGGCTGGAGTTTGGTCCGCCAGAAAAAAGAAAATATTCGGCTGAGATCTGGGTGGGTTTTGGCTAGCCGAAGAGTAAATAAAAGATCTCTGGCATGAATGTGCTTTACAGTAAAACAGACTTGTGTAAGATGTGTCTTCCTAATTTTATAAATCCTTTACGATATTTATTCAAATTAATTTTATAAATCCTTTATGATATTTATTCAAATAGCAGATACTTTTGGATATTATAATTAATTAAAGAAAAGTTTATGTACTGAAATCGACTGAGAAATAAAACATGATTGTGTTTTTATCCAAAAAAAACCGCAGTCCCCCAGTACAGCTCGGTCTAATGTGGAGGACAATGCAATCCAATGCATCTTGGACATAGTAGTTGATTTACATCTACGGCGTTAAATCCACTCTGGCAGTGAAATTCAAACTGCTGTTAGAACTTTTGTGATCCCGCCATACCTTGGTTTTGTCTTTTGGAGCTTTAATACATCAAGGTAAGTTAATTCTTCTTTTAAAATCTCAACTAACGTTAACATGTAGGTTTCACCCATTCTTCTACAGTGCCTTACTTGATTGGCTTTTTGTTCGTGTTTAACTCTTTTCTGTCATTGGATTTCATTTGTTTTTATGTTAAAGGTACTACAATTATTCTCAGTCCCCATTTACAGTGCATAACGGAAACCATGTGGTCTTACAGTGAGTGAAGTAACGTGAAAAAGGGCTGTTAAAAGAGTCAATAAGATGTTTGAATCTGGGGGAAAAGGAATTAATAGGAATTAAAAAGTATTGCAACTGGAGATTTTGTGCTATGCTTGGACACAATCTACACAAGTATGACAACTAAGAGTCATGATTGCTTTTCTGTATTGGCCTTTATATTGCCTAATTTTTAAAATAAGTTGTTTATTCCCATTTGTGTTTTGCTTGCAGAAATCATGTGCCACACAGTCAGCTTTGGAATTAAAAAGTATTGTAAATGGAGATTTTGTGCTATGCTTGGACACAATCTACACAAGTATGACAACTAAGAGTCATGATTGCTTTTCTGTATTGGCCTTTATATTGCCTAATTTTTAAAATAAGTTGTTTATTCCCATTTGTGTTTTGCTTGCAGAAATCATGTGCCACACAGTCAGCTTTGTTGACACTGAAGAAGTTGAGGTTATGCCTGCAATCTGGATGAAGAATGGTGTGTGTTTATGGCCTCCATATAAACATTTAAATCAATTTTATTGTTTAAGGTAGTTATTTCACCTGCTTTCACTAGATCACAATAATAGAAGTAGGAATATTTCGCTGAATAGTATATTCACATGTAGGGCTGTGACGGTCACCGCGGTGGTTGGTTGGCACTGCAGTTGTCTACTGCCACCGGCGGTAGTGCACGTGACGTCACGCACTCTTTAACAACCATAATACGAAGTTTTGCATACAAGTGTAATAACAGTAATAGTTGCAAATTGTTTTATTTAGACTATAAGTCTATGCTAATTCACAAATTACCTCAAACGCCATACACAGCGTTTCCTTTCGAATGGCAGGTTTGAGCGCAGGAAAATACAGTTTATTCTGCATTCAGCAAGTTAATTTTGTGTTGGGCGATGGACCTTGTTGGGAAACCAAAAAATATATCGCCGATCTGGAGCCATCTCCATTCATGTCACCCATCCGTGTTTGTACAAGTGTCTTCAAGTTCCCGTGATCGCAAACACCTGGCTGGTCAGGTTTGGTGAGGCTTTCTCCAAATTGGCCAAATACAAAGGAGACAGTGATAAATGAAAGATGTTAACAAGAAATGTGGGAACGATTCCTATTTCAAAGAGAGCGTGTGCAGACGAGGAGTTAATGCGCCGCTTGCTTGGCGGTGGAACAGTGAACCGTGTCTACACAACAGGTTGAGTCTGTCTAGTGTCTACACAGGACATATGAGCTCTGTGTCAGTACTTCATAAATAGGACGAGGCAGTTTACTGTCGGGGATTTGTCGTGTCGTGCCGCATCCAGTGTAGCATCACTGATTATAATGAGTTCATAACCTAGCATTTTGTCATGTTGTGTCGCACCGCGCCGCTCACGTCCTGTAGACAGGGTGTATTTAAAGGGGTCATATGATGCTGCTAAAAAGAACATTATTTTGTGTATTTGGTGTAATGAAATGTGTTTATGCGGTTTAAGGTT